TCTATCTATCTATCTATCTATCTATCTATCTATCTATCTATCTATCTATCTATCTATCTATCATCTATCAAAATGGCTCTGTGTGTGTGTGTGTTTCAACATAACTCTGGAACGCCTTGAACAATTTCAACCAAACTTCTTACACAGATGACTTACTCTCTGGAAACAAATACTGTGGGGGTAAGACACCCCTAACACCCCTTAGAGGGGTTGTTCTGTTAAGATACAGCCTGTTGTGCCTTAAAACAGCTTCTACCATACTGCCTCAAAATGGTTTCTACTGTACAGCACTGTGGAATTGCCATGGTAACGGCTTCAAAGTACTCTACAAGGAGGCTCCCTCTGGTAAGGGGGAAAATCCAACATTAGAAATTGCAGCAACATTCATGGAAGGAGGTTTAGGATAAATAAATACCCGGGCAGCACCAGATTATCAGCTAGTTATAACTTAAGAGGGCAAGAGGTTTGCACAAAAAGACATAAATTATGGGACTTTTGAATAATAGTAACAAAAGCAAAAGTTAATTTAAAAACCAGCATCGAATGGAATTTAGTGTAGAAGACAAAAGGAATACAGGTCAAAAAATAATACCCCAAACTGATCCAAATGAAATCTGACAGATTTCATCTAACTTTCAGATAAATGCTGTTCATTTCTGATATATAAAATAAAGCCCTGGTTATTTATGCATATATTTTTTTTTGTATCATGCTAGCGCCCCCCCCCCAAAAAAAAACACAGAGCTTATGTCTCTTTGAAGCATTTCCAATGTTCTTGGAGAGCTTCTCATTTTCATCTGAAACTTTGCTTGCCTCCTGAGAATATATTTTTGCACACCTTCAGAATGTTCTTTATTTTTTTACTCAGGGTAGAGATTTTGTTTGTTTTTGGTAAAGAAAATCCAAATTTAGTTCTTCAGCTCTATTGTTTTTGTTAGCACTGCTTTTTCCGAAATACATTTTAGTGTTAAGGTAAAGGTTCTCCTCGCACATATGTGCTAGTTGTTCCCGACTCATCTCCGTTTCAAAGCTGAAGAACTAGCGCTGTCGGAAGACGTCTCCATGGTCATGTGGCCAGCATGACTAAATGCCAAAGGCGCACGAACGCTGTTTAAGACAGTCATTTGTCTGGAATGGGATAGGGTTTCCTGCTTGAGCAAGATGTTGGACTAGAAGACTTCCAAGGTCCCTTCCAACTCTGTTTTATTCTGATCGAGACATGTTTTAAAGCAGAAGAAAGCAAAAAAATCTTACACATTAGTTGCCAACAAAAATGAAGTAAATTGAAACAACAAAACATGGTGGATACTTTGGAAAAATAGTCTCTAATTAGGCTTCTGCAACAAACTTAGAATGGCTTTCTAAGAGAGTATGGCCAAAATCTACAAGGGGTCTATTTCAATTTATATTGCTTTGCATTAGTTAAATCCCTAGGTTTTAAAAGATATTTAATGCCATGGAGAAAGCCTGAAAGATTACAGAAAGGACACTAAATCAAAATAATTTAAAAATGGTTTGTGTGATGAATTTAAAGCTTGAAAACTACCATATAATGAATCATTATTTAACTCCCACTTTTCCAAATTTTATTTTATTCGGTCTCAGGGAGTTCTATGAACTTTCAATAAATGTGCACAAGGGGTATTAAAATTTCAACATAGAGAGGAAGCTGACGTATCCCACATGCAGGACATGTTAGATTTTATTTCTTCTTTTCACAGAGTTGAAAAACTACTTTTAAATACTGGCTGGAAGCTACTCATGAGAAAGCAAGAATAAGTTAAATATGTCTACTTTCTCTATTAAAGGGATAAAATCATATCTACAAAAATATAATTGGCTAAGGAACAATCAGCTTAACTTCATAATGGTTTGCAAAAGTTTTCTTATTTCTTTTTAGATAAGGAATATCTTTTGCATTCTTCATCATACTGTAAAAAATAAAGGAAAGTAAAAAATTCTTAGCAGAGAATACTGTCTTTAACATAGACACCCGTCTATGATATGGACATCTCTTTTGATGGAGTTTGAGTGCTTGATTTGATTTGGCAAGTCAAATCAATTTGATTGCGAGTCCCCCAAATCAGATTGTTGAATGGAATCAAATTAAACCATTGATTCAGTTCCGAAAAAGGGCATCCGATTCAATTCAACCATTCCAATTGCCTTAGTATTGTATTTTGAATCAAATACTTGCACAGCTAAAAGGGAGAAAATGAACTAACCCTCTGGGGTCAAGTTTTAAAGACACCTACAGACCCATTTTTGCTGAGAAAACCCCCACGTCAAAATAAAGAGATCAAAAGATATTATTTAGGTATACCTACACATTTGTTTTTTCCCCTTTCTTCTACCTTTGCTTTTATCAGCTTCAGAAATCTAGCCATCCACCTGAATCTATTCCAATATGTACCTCAAAAAATAAATTTCCTTTAGTGCAGAAAATATAATGAAGAGACTTATACTGCAGAGAAGAGGAACAAAGATGATTAGGAGACTGGTATCTAAAACATATGAAGAACGGTTGCCAGAACTGGGTGCGTCTGGTCTAGAGAAAAGAAGGACTAGGGGTAACATGATAGCAGCCTTCCAATATTTAAGGAACTGCCACAAAGAAGAGGGTCAACCTATTCTCCAAAGCACCTGAAGGCAGAACAAGAAGGAAACTAATCAAGAAGAGAACCAGCCTCCCCTGGCCCTCTGGAGGCCCTTGAAAGGCCGAAAATCAGCTGGCTGGCACACACAGGCTTCAGCTGACCTGGGGCAATGGCTCGTATGCCCTCAGAGATGGCTCCGCCTGCCCCCTGTGGCATGCGTGCCATAGGTTCGCCATCACCAATGTAGGGTCTCCTGCTTGAGCAGAGGGTTGCATTAGATGATCTCCAAGGCCTCTTCCAACTCTATTATTCTGTCATCTTTTATCCCACTATCAAAAGGAGTCCTCCAATTGGTTACCCATTCTGGAAATTCTCACAATTCACCATTCCAAGAAGCAGGAAGGCAGGATAAGCAGAAAAATAATTCTTCTCCTTTGTTATATGCATGCAAACTACAGACTTTATAAAGCCAGGAAAGTGTGAAATATACGTAGCTAGTTGACAATATCTTGCTGACTATATGTGGTCTTAAGAAATTAAGCAGGGTCATGTCTGATAAGTGTTTGAATGAGAAAGAAATATCTAGGTATGGGACTTTCCTAATAGTAGTTTTAACTGTTCAGCTATGTCCATTTTTGGTGACTTCATAGGCAAGTGATCTCCATGCTGATGATGTTCATCCATCGTGTTCAAAGAGGACCTTGACATCTAATGGGTTGTGGGTTGTCCACGGTATGTCCGCAGGTGGTTGGATAAGGCCTATATGGGCACAGACTGTTCTGCCATGTGTCGGGCAGACACGTGTGGGCACCACTGTTGCAGCATTTGTAGCTCTGGCTTTGCAGAGTGTTCGCTTCTCTTGTGCTGTGGTTGTTGTTCTTGTCTTCAAATGTCTGGCAGCCTTGGTGAATCAGCATGCACCATGTCGATCGGTCTTGTGCCAGGGTTTCCCAGGAGGTGGTGTCAATTTCCAGGAACTTGAAGGAGGTTTTCAATGAGTCTTTGTATCACTTCCTTCCTGTCCCCCATGCGATCGCTTTCCTTGAGACAGCTCACCATAGAGGAACTGTTTAGGGATGCAGTGGTCTGGCATCCTTGAACATGGCCTGCCCAGCGTGTCTGGGCTTTCATCAGCAGGGTGTGAACTGATGGCAGGTCTGATCTGGAGGGGACTTCCGTGAATGGCACCTTGTCCTGCCACCGGATCCTCAGAAATCTGCAGAGGCAGGTCCTGTGGAAGTGGTTCAGTTGCCTAGCATGCCTCTTGTATACAGCCCAAGTATATAGTCCAAGTGTAGCTTGTCAATGGCAGCTTTTTTCCCCAGTTGTTATATGTTCAACTTTTCATCAGGTTCAACATTATCAAGCCAGCGTGTTCTTTGCTTTCCCCTTCCTAGTTTGTACCATTGCCTTCTCCAGTGAATTTGCACACAAGTAAATCAGATGTAGTTATATCAGACAGGACTATACTAGGAATGTGAACTACACAGATTATCAGTGAAGTCACCAGAAGTTGAGTTTACCATATTTTTGGAGTATAAGACGCACTGGAGTATAAGGCGCGCCTAGATTTTGAGAGAGAGAAATAGTTGTTGGTCTCCATGAATCTGGTTTTTGCCCTCCCGGGCTGCCAGGAGCACTCTGCAGGCCTCCCAATCCCTCTGAACATCAAGTTTTACTAAAAATGGATCCGGGTTTGGCTTCCAAAAACTCCCATATGTCTCGTTTTTACCCTTCCCAGCCCCCAGGAGCACTCTACAGGCCTCCCAAATCCCCTGCACCAGGGGGTGAAATTCAGCAGGTTCTGACAGGTTCTGGAGAACCAGTAGGGAAAATTTGAAGGAGTTTGGAGAACTGGCAAATACCACCTCTGGCTGGCCCCAAAGTGGTGAAGGAATGGAGATTCTACAATATCCTTCCCCTGGAGTGGGGTGGGAATGGAGATTTTGCAGTATCCTTCCTTTGCCACGCTCACCAAGCCATGCTCATATAACCAGTAGTAAAAAAAAAAAAAAAAAGAACTTCACCACTGTTCTGCATGCCCCATTTTTGTGAAAAACTGACCTGTTTTTGGCCTCCCGGACCTCCCGCACATCCCATTTTTGTCCTCCCAGCCCCCAGGAGACTGCAGGCTTCTCAAATCCTTCACGCATCCCATTTTTGCCCAAAATGGGTCCGTTTTTCCCCCAAATTGGCCCATTTTTTTGCAAAAATGGGACATGCGGGGGGAGGGGGGTTGTTTCAGGAGGCCCATATTTGGTGTATAAGATGCACAGACATTTCCCTCCACTTTTGGGGGGAGAAAAAGTGCGTATTGTAGTCTGAAAAATATGGTACCTTGAAGGTGACTTTTTCTCAAATAACAAAGCGACGCAATGATCTGGACGTAAAGGTGATTCAGAAGGGGAAGAGGCATTCACCGCCAGCGACATCTTGACAAGAGTGCATTACATTCTGAATTTGAGTGACAGCAGGAAAAGCAAAACGTTTTCCTGAAAGTGAGAGGATTTGTTCTCCTTCCCCTTCACGGAAGAACTGCCGAGGCTCACGTTCGAATGTTCAGAACTTTTCACGCCAAGGAAATATGGCAAAATTAGTCCCCACACTTGCGCCTGTGCTATAATAGCCATGTGTTAGAAACTGCGTGGGACGGGAGAGAAGGGAAGCCATCTGTTGCTTTCCAGATTTACTAGCAAGCTTTGGAAATCATTTCAAGCGAGGGCTTTTTTTCGTAGTATTTCCGTTCTTTCATCACGGTTGCTTTCCTTTTATTTTTTAAAAAATGCTTTTTTAAAACACAAATTAAAACATTGGACACAGTGTAAACTATCCTGGCAAAATCTACATGCGAAGATATAAAGTTATACATTGTAACCACCCTGCTTTTTAACATTTGATCTATTCTGTATTTACAAATATAGAAATATCACATTTCCAGGCCCGGTTGTTTTTCCCAAATGCAAAGGCCACAGGTTATCTATCTACTTTATTTATTTATTTGTTGAATTTGTATTGCTGCCTCTTTACCCATGGCGACTCAAGTCGACTTACAGAATATAAAACCACATTGAAGACAAGAAAAACTAACAAAAAGAATCAAATAAATTAGGTAAAGGTTCCCTCACATATATGCGCTAATCATTCCCGACTTTAGGGGGTGGTGCTGATCTCTGTTTCAAAGCCAAAGAGCCAGCGCTGTCTGAAGAGGTCTCCATGGTCATGTGATCGGCATGACTAAATGCCGAAGGCGCAAGGAACGCTGTTACCTTCCCACCAAAGGTGGTCCCTATTTTTCTACTTGCATTTTTACATGCTTTTGAACTGCTAGGTTGGCAGAAGCCGGGACAAGTAACGGAAGCTCACTCCGTTATGCAGCACTAGGGATTCGAACTGCCGAACTGCTGACTTTTCTGATCAACAAGCTCAGCATCTTAGCCACTGATCCATCACATCCCATTATTTAATCCCATTATTTACTCCGGGCGGTATAATAAACACGAGAATATATATTACAATGCAGAGGCTTTAAAAGCTAACCTCAACCTTCCACAGCTGGGTTTCTTACAGCAACGTTTATTAGGTGCCCCTTGGATGAAATGAAGAATGAAGAAATGATTTGGATGAACAGAGATGGAAAAGTCACAGTCGGTTTGGTATAATGGTTAAAGGCAATGAGCTAGAAAATGGTAAATTGCTAAGTTCCAGCCCTCTTTAAGCACAGGGTGACTTTGGACCAGTGAATCTTTTTCAACCCTGCAGGGGGGGAGCCCAAAATATTCCCAAGGGGCTTGTTCAGAATGACTCCGAAGGTGAACATAGGTAAAGGTAAATGTTCCCCTCGCACATACGTGCTAGTCGTTTCTGACTCTAGGAGGCGGTGCTCATCTCCGTTTCAAAGCCAAAGAGCCAGTGCTGACCGAAGACGTCTTTGTGGTCATGTGGGCAGCCTGACTAAATGCCGAAGGAGCACGGAACGCTGTTACCTTCCCACCAATCCCACCTTCCTATTTTTCTACTTGCATTTTTTACATGCTTTCGAACTGCTAGGTTGGCAGCAGCTGGGACAAGTAACGAGAGCTCACTCCGTTATGCGGTGCTAGGGATTTGAACCGCCAAACTGCCAACCTTTATAATCGCCAAGCTCAGCATCTTAGCCACTGAGCCCCGAAGGTGGACATATATACACAAAAAATTAAAGCACCAGAACTCAGTGGATTTTGTGTGGAGCATTTCAAAGTATTTTTCATAACCTCTATTACTATACTATGTTTTTCTTAAAATAAAAAGTATCTTTCCTTGTTTACTTAGTAAGGCACATGTTAAAAAAAGCACGAACTGTTTTTTCCTGTTCTGTGTAGTTAAATAAACAATGGCTTTGATTTTGTGTTCAAAAGGAGGAGATGTCAGGATGCAGTCTTTCTTTTTTTTTTTTTACAAACTATATTCATTTGCAGAAAAGGAGGAATGAGACACGCAAATGATCACAGGTAGGCAATTCCTGTCTTGACAGAACCTTCATGCAAGGTGACTCAACATTCCCTGCCTGTCATTCTTAATTAGCTTAGACACAAGTCTCCTGAAAAATTCTTCATCATAAAAGAATCATAAAGGCCCATTTAGATTTAAAAAAAAAAAGCTGTCCCAGTTTTTATCCAAACAATTCCCCTGTTTCCCTCAAAATAAGACCTCCCTGGATAATAAGCCCAATCAGGCTTTTGAGCGCATGCGCTGAAATAAGCCCTTCCCTGAAAATAAACCCTTCTCGAAAATATTGCAACACAGCAGTAGCCATGAGGTGACCACACTTGATTGCCTCCTGCATCTCAAATATAATAAGACTTCCCCGGAAATAAGGCCAAGTGCTTATTTCGGGGGTCAAAAGAAAATAAGATGCTTTGGGGAAAAACGGTATTTGACCATTAAATTTGCATTTAAGCTTAATCCGATAGAGAGATGGATGAATGGAGAAAGAGAGAAAGAGGGGGAGGGAGGGAAGGAGGAGGAGGGATTATTTATAGACAGACAGACGGACAGACGGACGGAGGCAGAATCTATTCTTAAAGACCTCCACAACGTAAGATGGCAAGTTGTTCCACTGATTACTTGTTCTCACAAATTTATCCTTGTTCTAAACTGTTCTCCCTTTGATTAGTTTTCATCCATTGAAATCATTTTCCTGAATCAGAATAGAGCTGGAAGGGATCTTGGAGGTCTTCTAGTACAACCCCGAGCAGGAGATCCTATACCATTTCAGACAGGTGGCTGGTCAGTCTTTTCTGAAAGAACTCCAGTGATGAAGCAGCCACGACATCTGAAGGCAAGCCATTCCATTGATTAATTGTTTTCATTGTTAGGAAGTTTCTCCTTAATTCCAGGTTGCTTCTCCTCTTGATTAGTTTCCATTCATTGTTTCTTGTCTTGCCTTCTGGTGGTTTGTGGCAGCCCCTCAAATACTGGAATACTGCTGTCATGTTTCCCCTACTCCTTCTTTTCTCTAGACTATCCATACCCAATTCCCACAACTATTAAGATAAGGAATGGCTTGTATCATACTGTTATGCCATCTCACAGATTTTAACCATCAACCTTCACGGGCATCATTATAGCTTATGCTTTTATGAAGCCCTTCAACAGGGCAATGCTGAATGTAATTTATGACAAGTAAAACAGATGTTAACAATAGTTTGGGTAACAACATGATCACTTTTAAGCAGCAGTGTATTTTTTATGGGAATGGAAGTCTCTCAGTTCAACCTCGGATGAATTCCCTGATCTGTCACAAAACATTTGGTAGCCTAATGGTTAATGTCTATTTCCTCCCCCCCCCTCCCGCCCATGGCCCTATACATTGCATAAATGGGAGCTGATCTAATTTCATTGCAAGGAATGACAACTGCTCTAAATGGAAGAGGCTAGCTTAGGACATGCCCTGCAGCCTTGGGTCAGCTCTGTTTATGAACAGAAGGAATAGTTGTTCTGACCTAGGCTTCCCCAACCACGAAGCAGACTCCTTGTCCCGACAAAACCTCTTTTTATTAAGTTACTGTGAATTCCTCTCATTCACATTCAGCAAAGTCCTGGCAAACAAGGGTGAATGTACAACCACAGACCTCATCAGGCTTGGGAGCCGCAAGGCTGATATCTTCCAAACGCAACGCTGTACAAGAAAGTACTTAGGAAGGAGTCTCTGAGAGTCACAAACCAATTAAGTGAACTAAGTGTCTCCTGCAAACTCCACTCCCCTTTCACTCTTCTTTATTCCCTATGGGAGGGGCCATTCACCGTCCACTTGTGCCTTTACTCCCAAGTCAGCCATTGTTCCTTAACTGTTCCCTTCTCCTGGCAGGTCTGTGCATGCACACATCGGGAACAGGCTCCATCTGTTCTTCTACCCCACTGATCTCCAACTCCAAAGGCAGCTGATAAATGTCGGACAGCCGTGGCCCCTTCTCTGCCTCCAATGCAGAGCCCTCATCAGACCCTTCCCCAGGCTCCAGGACCGGCCCATGTTCCTCCCCAACCTCCTCACTCTTTGAGTCTGCCACAAGCTCTTGCTGGCCACTGATGGGCCACAACGATAGTTAAGAGCTCAAAAGAAATGGTGGTTAGGGCTGTCACCAAACCACTCATCATTGGCTCTCTCATTTTTTCAATAGGTAGAGCTGGCTCATCCTTCTGTTTGATTCAATGACAGTGGGGACGAAGGGCCTGGTTGATTGGGCCAGGTCAAATGCCACATGGGATCTACGGAGTTTCAGAAGTAGATTGGGGTTGTTCCTCAAGCTTGGATGCATGGTTCACCTGAGATTCTCCTTGGGACATGGAATGAGGAATGGCCATGATTTGGACTGAGCTGCACCTGTGCAGCCTCTTTTGGTGGCGAAATCTCCATCTAGAATGAGGGAAGGACTGAAAAGGCAACCTTGAAGTCCTTGCAGAAGAGGAAACAATGGAGTCTAGATCCCGCAGAGAATTTCCAAAGCTTTTATCTAACTATTGGAGTTTCCCCCAAAATAAGATCTTATATTATTATTGTTTTGCTCCAAAAGTTGCATTAGGGCTTATTTTCCAGTTAGGTATTTTGGGGACAATACGATTCTAAAATGCTTCTGTTTGGCTGACGATCTTAACTGGGGCTTATTTGGGGGGAGTGTTAGGGCTTATATTTCAAGCATCCTGAAAAATCATGCTAGGACTTATTTTCCAGTTGGGTCTTTTTAGAGAAACTGGATATTCCCAAGAATCCTGGCGTGATTCTTGTAAATTACGTAGGCAACAATAAAGATACTCTGATCAGCTCACAATGTTGTTCTGGTACCTTATGCCTAAATTTCTCAATTTACAGATCCCAGAGAGTTCCCTGGTTCATTCCAAAACATGATACTGTCAAGGTTCCGACAGATGCCCTAATTAATTCATGAGCCTCAAGCCA